CATCATATGTAGGTGAATCATCATCATCGTTATCGCTATCATCATCACTAGCTTGCTCATCATCACTACTATCATCATTCTTAGTTACCTTGTGTTCACCCTTGGCCATAAGGCATAGGTGTGTAGATGATGATGGCGATGATGGCGGTGAAGATGCAAGATCAATAGCAATGGCGGCCACCTTCTCATTGTCACTATCATCATCGGATGATCCACTTGATGAATCAATGTCCGTGAGCCAATCACCGACAATGTAGGCCTTTCCACTCTTCTTCTTCTTCTTGTAGAAGTCCCTCTTTTTGCCATCTCTCTTCTTGTATGGCTTGTTCTTTTTCTTCTCATCTTCATCTTCATTGCTTGAGTCATCTTTCTTGCCCTTGTTCTTGATCTTGAACTTATCTTTCTTGGGCTTTGTGCATTGATGAGCTAGATGGCCAAGTTCGCCACAATTATAGCAATCCATCTCGGAGATTGGCTTTCTTCTTGAGCTAGTGAAGAACTTCTTCTTCTTGCCGTCAAACTTGATGCCACTCTTGTTTAGCTTCTTTAGCATCTTGGCGGTCTTCTTTACCATGAGAGCAAGACTTTCTTCATCAACTTCATCTTCACTTGAGCTTTCATACTCAAGTCTTGCCTTGCCCTTATCTTGGCTAGCTTTGAATGCTAAGTCTTTATCTTTCTTCTTGTTAGAGGTTGAGCCATCTTGTGGGGTGATGTGCATGTACATCTCATGAGCATTGATCTTTCCCAAGATTTGTGTCGGTGTAGCGGTGGAAAGATCACCTTGGTGTAGCACGGTCACAATATGCCCATATTTTTCAATGGGGAGGACACTCAAGATCTTTCTCACAACATCGGATGGTGACATTTGAGTGAGTCCAAGCCCATTGACTTCCTCTACAAGAACATTCAGACGTGAATACATCTCATTAGCACATTCTTTGGGAAGCATCTCAAATGAATTTAGCTTTTTAATCACAAGATGATAGCGTTCCTCACGCTCACTCTTAGTTCCCTCATGGAGCGCACAAACGTTCGACCATAGAGCATGGGCGTCTTTGTGGTTCCTTACACGATTGAACACATCTTTGCAAAGGCCTCTAAAGATGGTGTTGTGAGCCTTTGCATTCCATTTTTCATAATTAACCTCATCGCCTTGAAGATTAGTAGCATCCTGAGGTTTTGGGAAGCCTTGCGAGGCAGCTCTAAGAATACCAACGTCTAGAGCCTCTAAGTACGCCTCCATGTGGATTTTCCAATATGGAAAATCATCTCCCTCAAAGATAGGAGGAGGTCCATCCCCGTGAGACATCTTGCTCAAAGCGGTTAAGCTTAAAAGTGTGAGCACGAGGCTCTGATATCAATTGAAAGGATTAAGATGCCCAAGAGGGGGGTGAATTAGGCTAATTCTAAATTTTCTTTCAATAATCAAATCCTACGGATAGCCCAATTAACCCCTTGTGCCTAGAAAAGTGTTTCTATCAAACTAATCGCCCAACGGACTTTCAACCTATGTTCCAAATTTACTCTAGCATGGGAATTCTATGAATGTAAAGACAAGTATTGAATTGCTCAAAGTAAATACTCAAAATAAATGCTCAAAGTAAATGGAGAGAGAGAGGGAGGAACGCGGTGATGTTTTGCCGAGGTATCAGAGAGTCGCCACTCCCCACCAGTCCTCGTTGGAGCACCCGCACAAGGGTGTAGCTCCCCCTTGATCCGCGCAAGGATCAAGTGCTCTCTACGGGTTGATTCTTCGACACTCCGTCGCGGCGAATCACCCAAAGCCGCTCACAACTTGAGTCGGGTCACCCACAGTCTCCACTGGGTGATCACCAAGCTCCCAATCACCACAAAGCTCCCAATCACCACCAAGCCGTCTAGGTGATGGCGATCACCAAGAGTAACAAGCACGAACTCTCACTTGACCACGCGAAGCCTAATGAGAAGATGGATGCACACTTGACTACTCTTGATTCACTAATGAGGCTACTCTCTTGGATTCTCAAATCTCAATCACCTCACTAGGACCTTGCTCTTCTTGGCACTCACAAACATGTTTCTCAGCTATTGGAATGAGCAAAAGCCACTCCACACACGAGTGGAGCTTCTATTTATAAGGCAGCCTGAAAAACGAACCGTTATGAGCTTCTGCAAGGTGACCGGATGCTCCAGTCGCACTGACCGGACGCTCTGGTCAGTTCAACCCACGAACCAGTGAAAAAGAGTTGACCGGACGCTAGCAGGGTCCGGTCAGCACTGACCGGACACGTCCGGTCGCATAAAACCCTTACTGGAACCTTACTGGACTCGACTGGACGCAGAACCCTCAGGGTCCGGTCAGAACTGACCGGACGTGTCCGGTCGTAGATTTCCTTCTCTGGAACCTTACTGGAGTCGACCGGACGCTGCCTTTCAGCGTTCGGTCACTCGACCTCTCCAGCGTCCGGTCACACCGAACACAGACAACAGATCCAATGAACTGACCAGACCCTGCAGCCAGCGTCCGGTCGCACCGGGGCCAGCGTCCGGTCAGCATTTGACCCTCCATTCACTTCCAACTCTCGATCATATGTGAATGAAGTTTGCTCCAAAGGATCTTAGGCATTCGTAGGAGCTACCTAGAGCTAGTTTTAACAAGTGTGCACCACACCTAACTCACTAGACTTAACTAGGTCAAGCTACCCGTCCATATCCCCTTAATAGTACGGCCAAAAGAAAAACAAAGTCCAAAATTACTCTAAGTGTCTCTCCAACTCCAATCAACACTTAGAACTAGTCATCCTTAACCTTGTCGTCCATCCTTTGAAAACCGAAACGATTTCCATCGTAGGGGCATGACAACTTTGATTGCCCAATTGATCTCTATTACCATGACCTAACTTACTTGCCTCTGCAAAACACACGTTAGTCATAGTAATCTTGTATTGTCATTAATCACCGAAACCCAACTAGGGGCCTAGATGCTTTCAAGCGAGATCCATGGAGGTGGCGCGGCGGTGTTGTAGGGGATTGGGCGGCTCCCCCCACCCCGGCTCAAAGGTCCTTGTTTGATTTTGATAATTAAGTGACAACCTAGGTGGACTAATAAGTGTTTATGTGAATTACACAGGTAATTAGTGCACAGGTACACTTGTGTGAGCAACACATGCCATTAAGGTGAAAATGGCTTGAATATCTTGCAAGGCTCACACATGTGATGAAGGAGCTCATTGCATATGAGACATGACATGGAGTCATGTGACTAAGGTGGAGAAGATCAAGATCAGGCTTGGCATGATGGACCGGTTGCAAGAGTGAAGGGCAAGTAAGAGGCTTTGAAGCGATAAACCGTGTGGCGGGGAAGCTTGAGCAAGACTTGGCGCTGATGGACCAAAGCAACGGTGAAGAGCAAGTGAGGTCAAGATTGATGAACCAATAAGGTCACGTGATGATATGAAGTGGATCATATCATTTGTTGATCAAGGTTGGTGCATGTGTTGCATCAACATTGGAGGAGATGGAATGGAATGCGCAAGACGAAGGTATAACCTAGGACATTTCATTTTACTGGTCATAGGTGTGTAGAGAAGTTTATGATCGGGTTTAGGATAAATAGCCATACTATAAAGAGGAGAAATATTTAATTACAACGGTTATCTAGTGCCACTAAGTGTGAGTTTTATTTGTATATGCATTGCACTTAGTGACGTGGTGAGATGGATGAGAAAGCCCAGGAAAATTCTTTGTGAAAAGCAATCTCAAGTGCTAAAATTGGTTTGGTGCTTTTTGGGAAGAGATAGCACTTGTTTTGGGCAAGTTGTGAATTGTGAACAAGAATTTCTTGCTCACTAGGCTTATTATTCCAGGCAAGGGTCCTTTGTTGGTTGGCCGAAATTAACTGGAATTTTAGTTGGCCCGAGCTGGAATTTCCAGTGCGGGTGTCCTCAGCGCCAACGGTCAGAAACAGGAGCGTCTGACTGAGAAATTCCAATCTGCGCCGACTGAAAATTCCAGTGCGGGTGCTGAGTGGGGAGAGACCCTGCGTGATGGGATAAGGCTGGCTCCCCTCTTCTCTTCTTCCTTCTCTAGCCATTCCCCATTGTTGCATCTTATGAACTAGGGTTCATCCTCTCCTCTCTCGCTCCCATGGTTTGAGCCAAGATTTGTAGGAGATATTGAGATCCCTTTGTGGGTGTGGATAAGAGATTGAAGTCCACCTCCTCCCCTTTCTCTCCCTCTCAAGCTTGGTGCTAATTTGAGTGAGGGATTGAGAGCATAGTGTGTGTGCATTTGAGGATTGCATTTGGTGGCACTAGGAAATCTTTGTGATTGGGGGATTTCTTGTTACTCTTGGAGGTTGCCACCTACTAGATGGTTTGGTGGCGAGTTCTCCGGCGTGAAGCCCGCAAGAAGCCTGTGCGGTGCTCCAGAGAAGTGCTTTGTGAGGGGTATTGTGCTCACCCCGCGGGAGCTACGAAGGGCAATTCTAGTAGAGTGTGTCATTGAGCTACCCTCACTTTTGGGGTAGGTTCTTGCGGCGCCCAACGTGTGGGCTAGGTTTGTGAAACACCTATTAGCCACCGAACCACACTACAACACACTTGACCTTCTGCGACAATCAGCTATTGTCGTTGAACACTAAATTTACGTCAAGTTACAGATTTGGTGACTTGAGCGCGATGAATTCCCATTTGTCGCCTATTTGACGTGTTTAGACACCTTTGGTGACGAACACAAGTTTTTTTGTCGCTAAACATTCGACAATACTGCTTCATCACTAAATTTGCGACAATGGCTATTGTCATTATTTTAGGAAGAATTGTCGCTAACTATTTATTGCCATGATGCCACGTGGCAAGATCAATATAAGCAAATACATAATACACAGATCAATATAAGCAAATACATAATACAATGTAGGTCACAAATTGATCATATCATTGAACAGTTAATTAATTAAAGTTTAAACTCACCAACCAAAGTTACAGTAGCAGGTCATACAATACATGTTTCAATGATCATATCCACTGACAACAACAGCAAACCACAATACTAGTTTTGTTCACAGGCCATAATGCATCTCACAGACCATATGATGCACTGACCAAAATTATAGCAGCCACAAGTTCCAAAGTTTAAAGGCCACACAATACTTCTCAGAGGTCGCAAAACAATGAAACCAGCAGCATGGTTCAAAAGTTAGAGCTACTAATACTAGGGGCAAACAACCAGCAACCAAACCAAGTTCAACCATCCCTAGGACCAAGCATTTGACGAAGAAAGGACATGGTTTGTGATGCCTTTTTTATTTTTTCGATCTCCTCAGCCTGTTTTGCCCTTGCCATTTCTGACTCTTTCTTTAAAGTCTCCATTGCCATTTATGATTCTTTCTTCATGGCTTCGAACTCATGCCTAAGGTCTTCTTTTGATTTTTTTTTCAATTTCAAGATCAGCCAAGTCAATTGCACCTTCATGCATAAACACCATAAATATGTCGGTGGCTTTACTATGAAATAAATCATCTATTATTCTCTTAGAAGCAATAACCACTCAAGGCAGCAAGGCAAAATATTTGTTTATTGGACATTATTATGTGCAAACCTAACAACTAAGTACAAGTAGGTTCAAATTGAGTTTACTGCTTTCATGTGCAGGACAGCTAGGTACAAGTTGTTTTAAACTGAATAACTAGGTATTTATTCTTAAGTCAAATGCAAATGCCCAACTAAGGGACAACAATTCATGTGCAAGAGTAGGACAGCTAGGTACTAGTAGAATCAAACTAAACAACTAGGTATTTATTCCTAAATCACAACTAGGTATATATCTTGATGAGGCACAAATCTGGTCTATGTCTTGATGAAGCACAAATCTGTAAAGAAAATAACTTGAGAGCATGCATGGTAGGGACTTGATGCACTTGTACCTTTGAGGAAGTGCAACCTTTAGAGCTATTGTTGGAGTTTGGTTGAATTCCTGCAACTTGAAGAAATGTGGTTGATTTCACAACTTGAGAAACATCATGGTTCACTGACTTTGGTTGCTCTTCATCTTGTACTGGTTCAGCCATGATCGCTTCCATATCAGCCTAGCAAAAAATTACAATAGAGACTTAAATCTTGTGTGCAATTTATTTTTTTTCAGATGTACGTCATGTAGCAAAGAAGGAAACAATCTGCAACATGTACGCAAAACTATGGGGACAGAGAAGAAAAGGGAATCAGTCACTCACAATAGCTTTCTTGATAGGCTCACTGAATCCTTTGTTCTTGCTGCAGTGGAAGTCCTTGAAAAGATCAATAGCAGTAGGTTGTACATCTTTGTATTTCTCTTGTCTCTAAATTATTTGCAAAGAAATACAAACAATTAGGCTGATACAAAAATCAATATATATCCATTACTGATCATTGATTGTTTAGTTTCTTACCACGACATGGGCTTGTGCAATGTAACACCGAGATCCTGTACAATGCAGTAACTGTACCTTCTCTCGATTTTGTTGGTTTTTCAAGCACCTTTCCTGTACATGAAACATTTGTTTAAGTGTTTCTACACATAGAACAAATACAGAAGTGAAGTTACAGTAAAATAATAAACATAAGTTCAAAGCATGTCAACTAATAGATATGTCCTGCTTCTTAGAGGTTCTAGGAGAAAATCGCTAGAACCTAAGACCATAGAGCTAATGGTCCCTAAAATAGGAGCAGAGGGACAACAGTGACCTCAAACCGAATGCAAAAGCGGCCACATGAGGATGTCACAACTACCTAATTAAAAATTTTCCTAGCATAGAAATTAGCTAAAGGTTCAGGTTTAGATAAGAAGATTTACAAAAACAGTAATAGATCAAGACAAGTGTCAGCTTGCCATCTTAATTTCTATTTTACTGTATCTAAGTTCAGGTTCAGGAAATTTAGAGGTTTGTCGCACCTTGTGCTTTGGGTCTGACCACATTTGCACTAAGGCCTGCCATTCATTGTCAGTCATATGATTCACAGGCGATGTAGTCCTCACTTGACTTGTAGGTACCCCATCAAAGTACTTTTTTCAGCTTGTGCCTCATCTGACGTTGTCCACACTTAAGCAAATCAGCACATGCATATTGGACTGCTTCACTCTTGGTGTCAATGGTGAATTGGGCCTAGTAAAGAGCATGAAAATTAGAATCTGCGAATGCAAAGGATAGATTGAACTTTCATGAAATCAGCAAAATTGAATTTAACTTACACCAATTTTTCCAATGTAGTTTTCAAGATGTGACTCATTTTTCTTGTACTCCTTCCAGTGTGTAAGGATTGGTATGTGCTGCCTAAGTGTGATCCCACCCTCTCATGCAAGCTTGGCAGCTTGGATAGGCGCCTCTGGCCGTCTGTTCCCTTCAGAAATATGGATTGGCAACTTCATGCATAATCCTCTACTTAGCCTATCTAGTTCTCTACCTGCGCTTCTTTCTCTTATCCTATCTGGATCTTTTCTTGCAGCAAGTGCACCTAACAACAATATAATGTTAGTGTTAATCTCGTAGTTGCTATTTGCAGTACACATGCAACTCATGTATCTATACTATAAAGGGGCAATGTATCTATCCTACTGGACTGCGTTAATTATCTCTACCAGTGTCACCACTTTTGCTTTGTTTTCCCTGAGCAATGGCATTTTCTCTTTTTGAAAGTTCAGTCATGTTACAGAACTATTTTCTGGTTGACTACTGTCCCCTGTGTCATGAGCACCATTTGAGGAAAGGAATTGTCATTTTGTGCTTCAATTCAACAATTCAGAGCTTGTGCTCTTAATGCCTCAAGTCATGTTTATGTTAGGTACTCAGTTTATAGATTACAGATTAGATTTGCTGCTTAAATAGCACATCAGTTTACAGATTCCAAATTAGATTGGCTGCTTAAAACTGTGTTGTTTCTTTAATTAATTTTAAACTATCCCAAAATGAGTATTTGTAGTATCTAAGGCTAAAATGCAAACTGTTAAGAGCTGCTTGTATGTCGGTTATGGATATGATTAGATGAGATAAAGAAAAATTATTTAGAAGTATGATTGAATTTAGAAGACAGTAAATTTATGACAATGGCATATACATATTTAGCATTGCAATGTGCAAATAACGAAAAGTGATTTGTTTACACAAGGTAGATACAATCACTTGCCTTCATCTGTAATGTCAACCAAGTTCTGTTGCAGGGAGGGATCACTACCAGAAACCAACACATCATGTGTGGGTGTGGCATTTGGCAGAGCCTAAATTGATCACTTGTTGTGGGTCTGGACTTGAAACCAAGGCTACATCCCTTGTTTTCTGCCTAGTGACTCTGTTAGGCACATCTTGTTCCTGAGGTGCCACCACTCTCTTAGATGCTTTTGTTCCTCTAACAGAGGTGTTCCCAGACCTTGTTGGATTCTTTGTATGTGCAGCATTAGCAACCTGCAAAGATTCATTAGGCAAAAAAAACAAGCAGAATTGGCACCAAATTTGCTAAATAGCATATTGACACATAATAAGAAACAATAAAGGACAAACAAACATATGCTTAGAAGACTTGGTACCTTGCTAATAACCTTCTCATCTTCACAGTCATCACTCTCCTGACCACTCTCCTGATCTGTATACAACGATCCAAAAACTTCATGGTCTTCACCCTTTCTCTCCACAGATGTATTGTTCACTATGGGCACTAATGTCTTGATACCAAGCCTCTCCAGCTCTCAGCTGTTTTTCATTATTTCTTCATTCCTTGAACGCTCATATTCAGTAATAGGCGCCTCTGTAAAAATTATTTGAGAATAGTTAGAAGGTTGGAATTTAATAAGATTATATGCCTCTATAAAACCCAAGGGCCTACATAAATGCTGCATGTTTAATTAACTTTTCATATTAGACACTGCAAGTTGTATAGCAAGGATGACTTGCTGCATGCACAAAAAGATGTTCTTACACAAGAAGTTTTGCAAGATTAAACATCCAACAAATATAAACCCAAAGGAGAATTTAGTTAACCTAGCTACCTAATCATTCATCTATTTAAAGGCTATTACATATCAGCATGTCTGTACAAATTCAATCACATAAACAATTTTCAAAGGCTCAAAAATAACCCATCCTCCTACAGACAGCAAAAACCAAGAGTTATTGTTCTCTATTTTTATTAGGACAGAACATGACTGCATCTGTTTCTCTTAAACCAAGAGACCCAATATTGTCAATAAATGAGAAATCGAACCATAAGGATATTTCAAGTGTAGTGTAAGTTTGCACTTAGATGCATGACATAAATAGTACTCGGAGTGCAGCTTTACATTAACAGGTTCTCTATATCAACAGGCTGAAAATTTAGCCAATCAGAATGCAGCTTTGCTTTGCTTTTCCATGAAAGAAGTGCAGGTTCTATTTTTTAGATTGATAGCAATGCACACCAAGTTCAGACCGATAGCAATGTACACCAAGTTTAGACTAATAGGATACACTGAACCTTCACATGAAAAGGCATGAAATCTTTTTTTCCATGACATACACAGATGCAACTGACGTTTCATGGTCTGTACAGATGCCAACCATCATGTCTCAGGTATAAAAAATGGGCAAAGTAGGCATCAACATTCATGGCACCCATACATATAACACATAGTGATGATATTCAATAGCTACTATACCACCTCCCTTTTCTACTAGGCATGGGTACTACATTGCTTGACCAAACTGACAGCACACTGTGATTCAGTTTAGTTGACACTATCAACGCATGCATAGTGAATGAGGGAGTTCACACTCGATCAAAAAACAGCATTCAGTTTAGTTGACCCTATCAACAGGATAAAACATTCTGCAAAAATGAAGGAGTTCAAACATTCCCGGACAAAGAATAGAACTAGGAATTTAACAGAACATTCAGAGAAGTCTGCTAGCACCTCAAAAACCATTTACAGAAGCTTAACTGATCTGTAAGTCGATAATGCTAAAACATAGAGACAAAACTTCTGATTTGCAAGTATGAACACACATAAAAGTGACATGCATCCCAACCATTCTGCAAGCATGAGACTTTTCAGTAAGTTTTGTAAGGTCGTTGACATTAGAAAAAAGTTCAGACCCAATTCACTAGCAGGAAAAAAATAAGTTGACATTCAATTCGTTTGATCAGTTTTCCATTCTTTTGCCATAAGACCAAAATCAATGTTCCATTCTCTAACCATCTGAATCGCTGGAAGCAATTGACCAAAATACTACCAACTACAAGCACTAAAAAAAGCAAGCAGTAGGCATCAACTACAATCTATATATTCTTCCTGCTCGCTTCTACTGCACGCTGCTAGGCAGGGGCTGTCCGGCAGGCCACACCGCCAGCAATGGCAGGGGCAAGCCGCAGCCCTGCACTCCCGCAGGGGCAGCTGGCAGCCGCTGCAGCCGTGCAGGGGCACCGCGCAGGCAGGGACCGCCTATACACCTCCCCTAGCCTCAAATCTAGATCCATGGTGAGATGGGTATGGTAGAGAAATTACCTATGAAGTTCCGAGTCCCTGAGGGCTTCCTTCCTCTTCCTAGAGCCATGCCGGTCTTGCAGCGGGGAAGGGTCTTGGCGCAGGGAAGCAGAGGCGATGGAAGGGAATGAGGAGGATGCGGCGGTAGAAAGATGGGGCGGCGGTTGGAATGAGGAGGACGCGGTCAGGGTAACATGTGCAATGTGTGAAACATTTTACTCTAATACCCTCTGAACTGTATGCACCATATTTACATTCCCCTTCATTCACTGGATATATTTGGTATTTTATCTCAAAAGACTTCACACGAACAAGCGGGTAAGCCAACAAAATTTGTTAGAGTTCGCGCGCTCATGGAAAGAGTGGCGCGTAGGGCCGAAAAGTGTGGCGTGTTGGGTGGTTGATGTTTTTTTGCTCCGGTTTGATTCATGCTGCTTTCCCCTTTTCTCTATTTTGGTGACTTCTTTTTTTACCCCTTTCTCTATTTTTTAAGTAACAACCAGAAGTAGGTTTACTTGGCCGAAAACAAATTGTGATTGGTGTTTTTATAAGTGAATTCAAATATGTATCAACTAAATTTTGCACAATGAGTTTATAACGATAGAAAATTGTCATATGCGAATACATAAATCTCAATGGCAATAGAAAGTTCATCGTCGACAACAAATGAACTCTACGACAAATCTAATTCGTCAAAACAATTCTATGTACCAGCTTACGACAATATTTAATGTCGTTCTCTTGGTTTGCGACTTTTTGTGACATTTTCTTTGACAATTCTTTTATCATCGCAAAAATGTAGGTCACATGTTGCGACAATTTCTAGAGAAAACGTTGTAAATCAACGATGAATTCTTCTTTTGTCACAAGAAAACCGTTACAAAAGGCTAGATTTGTTGTAGTGCCACCAACTGAGCGGTCGACACAACGGGGACTAGTGTGTTGGCAAACACGCGAACCTCGGAAGAAAAATAACCATGTCAACATTGTTCTTTCCGTTGGTTTGCATTCCCCATACACAAGCTTGTATTTACTTTTCATACATATTGTGCTTGTGTTGTTGCTCTTGTAATTAGTTAGCTTGTGTAGCTTGCTAGTTACCTTCTTCCTTGTGTAGTATAGAAGTAGCTCTCTTGCGTGACTAATTGGCTTGAGTAGCCTTGTTAGTCACATCGCTTAGTTTGTGTAGCTAAATAATTTGCGCTCTCTAATTTGGCTTGTGTAGCCTTGTTATTGAGTATTGCTAGTGAGCTTAGGGGCTTTGTGCTTTTGCTTATTAGTTTGTGTAGGAGCTCCCCCGGTGCTTGAAGTACTTGTTGCATAGGTTTGTGTGACCTTGCTTCTAGAATTGGTTAAGTGAGCTCTAGCTAGCCCAGCACCTTTGTTACCTAATTAGGATCTTTTATAAGGTGCTTGAGAACTTAGATAGAGGGGTGTAGTCTTGGCTAGACCGATAGTTTTAATTCCGCATTTATCTCGGTTAGCCGGCACGATTAATTTTAGAAAGGACTATTCACCCCGCCTCTAGTCCGCCATCTCGACCCTACAAGTGGTATCAGAGCCGAGGACTCTCATTTGTGGTCTTCACCGACCTGAGAGGATGGCAAACTACAGGCTAGATGTTGAGTGCCCATTTTTTATGGAACACACTTTGGACGATGGAAAAATTGGATGATAAATAATTTTAAGTTCATTTGCCCTCAAATGTGGTGGATCGTAGATGTGGGCTTTTCTCATGCATTGGATAAAAATAATGCAACTCAAGCACAAAAGAAATGCCTACATCTCGATTGCCAAGTTACTAACATTTTCAGTCAATCTATGGAAGACAGCATATTTGGTGAGATCATGGATATGGAATCCGCCCATAAGATTTGGATTTATCTCAATGGAAAATATGGGATGGTCTCCGATGATGATGATGAGGAGTCCAAAGAGAAGGCACATAAGGATGTTGAGCATAGCCATAACTCGGTGATTGTGGAAGATTGCTCCACCTCATGGTCAAGTGATGATGATGATTCTAGCACAAGATCGATGATGATGCAACAAGTGATGCAAATGATGATGCTACTCCATGCACACCTATTGTTGATGAAGATGATGGATATGAGAGTGATGTCTCTACAAGCTCACCAACATCACCACATTGCTTTATGTCACAAGGTGACACAAAGGTACAAAATGCTAATGTGGTTGATCATATTGATTCATATGATGAGCTTGTTAGTAGACTTGCTAGCATGACCATGTCTTTAGAAAACAAGAAAGCTAAAATAGTGAAATTGGAAAAAGAAAACTCTTTTCTAAAGGATTCATGTGAAGAACATAAGCACTTGATGTTCTTAGAACTTCACATGATGAGCTAAAATTGACTCATGAGGAACTTCTTGTATCTCATGAAGAATTATTACAACAACATGCTTCTCTAATTAAAGTGCTTTCAAAGAAACATAAAAGAATAAGAGCTCATCACATGACTCAAGTGATCAATCGCAACATGTGACTAACTCTTGTGATGTAGGGAAGAAGCATGTATTCACCTCGTGTGATGATTTACTAGATATGCCACGCTCTTCACATTTAGATGCTTATTCTACTTCTATGTTATGTGCGACTAACCTTTTGAAGGAGAACAATGAGCTCAAAGGAGAAGTGAAGAAATTGAGCAACAAGTTAGAGAGGTGCTACAACTCCAAAGTCACCTTTGAACATATGCTGAAGAATCAAAGAAGCTACGGTGACAAGTGTGGTCTTGGTTTCAACAAGAGCATGACTAAAGGGGAGAGAAAAAGAAAAAGAAAGATAAAGAAGCAAGCTCATGAAAAACTCTCATTTCATGTGCTACCGGTGCCATGAAGTGGGACATCTTCATGATTCATGCCCCAACATAGAGAAGCTCAAGTTGAAGAAGGAAGAAGAAAGGCTAAAGCATGTCAAGTGCTTCAAGTGCCGCACATGGGGTCATCTCACCTCTATGTGCCCCACCAAGCAATTGGTGAAGCAACAAGTGAAGCCTCAACTAAAGCCACAAGATGAGAAAGAAAAGAAGCCCCAAATTCAAATCAAGATCAACCATAAAGATTGTGGTGATTTGATGATGATGAAGAAGAAAACAAGAAGGGGTGAAAAGGGAAGAGAAAGAGCAATGTGTCCAAGGATGAATCAAGACGCAAAGAAAATAAGCAAGAACAAAGAAGAGAAGGTGAAGGAAGTTGCTCACATCAAGTGCCATAGTTGTGATGAATTGGGCCACCTAGCTTCGGGTTGTCCAAACAAGCTTGAGAAGAAGGCTCAAGCAAACAAGGAGAAGCAAGGCAACGACAAGCACCACATGAGCAAGGAATAAAAGGCTCAATCAAAGAGGAAGTGCTACTCATGCTAGAAAAGGCACTACTACACAAAATCTTTTGCGCTGTGTTTGTAAATAGGTCTCGGAGGTGGGTGGGCTTTTAAACCGCCTTAGTTAATGCCTGGATTAACCGAGACAGTTAAAAAATAACCGCCTCCTGAAATCTATTAACCGAGGCGGGTCAGGCCCGCCTCCAAAAATACCTCTATTTTCGGAGGCAGGCCTCTTACAAGGCCCGCCTAGGTTAATAGTGGCCAAGCCCACTAGCAATCATAAAATCCCAAACTAGCCTGATATCACCCCTGAGTATATATATGGTGACCTAGGGTTTTGGACAACTCGCAGCCACTCCAGTTTCTCACTTCAACCCTCGCTCTCGAGCCTCACCATACCGATGGCGCGACTCCCTCTCTGAGTCACTACGCCCCTCCTCCCTCCCGATTCTACAACTCTCCCTCCCTCCTGACACTTCCTCCCACCGGCGCCCTTCCCCATAGCCAGCGCCCTTCTCCCTCACGAGCACGCCCCTCTCCCTCCACCTCGAGCATCCCTCCCGCCAGCGCCCCTATCCCTCCTTTCTTCCCTACCACGGCGGCGCCCGTTCTTCCCTACCACGGTGGCGTGCGGGCACGGCACCACCTCCCGGTGGTGGCTCCTCTCGATGAGCGGGACAGCTCCTTCTAGCGGTGCCCCTTATTCCCTACCACGGCGGCGCGCGGATGCGGCACCACTTCCTAGTGGTGGCTCCTCTCGACAGGCGGGACAGCTCCTTCCAGCGGCACCCCTACCCCGGTGGGTTGCACAGCGACGTCTTCTCTAGGCCGATCTACGCCGGTGATGGCTGGATCCATGGGCGTGGTGGCCCGATCTGCCCGTGGTTTTCGGATCCACGGGCGGGGTGGCCAGATCCGCCCATGGTTGCTTGATCTGCGACCGTTGTGGTCGGATCCAGCGGCAGGGAGGCCAGATCCGGCGAGCGATGACACGTGGATGGGCTGGGCGGGCCCATGGATGGTCTCACCGGGCCTATCCACGAGTTTTTCATTTTTTGTTTTTGATTCGATTTACCGAGGCGGGCATCCAACCATCTCGGAAAAGATCACATTTACCGTGACCTTTGGACCGAGGCGGTTGCGATGCTCGCATCAGTTAATCATTTTCGCCAGCCTCGGTAAAGTTCTGTGTAATAGTGAGGGGACACATGGCTAATTCATGTCCCCTAGGTAACAATTCTAAGCCTATTTTAATTGTTGATATTAATGTGCTTAGAAAGGATGGTAGTGGTACCTCTTTGGTTGCTATTGCAAAACATCCCGCTACTCATACTAAGGCTATGCCTAAGTATGTTGCACCTAACTTGAGAGGACCCAAACTAGTTTAGGTACCAATAAAGAGTAGATGATTGATTGTAGGTACCATGGCATTGGAGGCTTGATTCATTGGAATTCTTATTGTTCATTATATGCTGATTCAAGTTATGAAGCTTAGTGGAAAAACAATCCTAATGCCAAGTCAAAAAGGAGTGAAGTCCAAATGTGCTATAACATATAAGTGCAATATTCATGTTGTTGGTGTTTTATTGGAATTATTTGGTGGCTTGCAAATATTTAAGTTGAAGCATGTTATGGATGATCATTACCTAACCAAGGTATATTCTTTGTTGATCTATTTCACATGGGGTCATCTCACCTCTATGCATACGTTGCTTGCTATAAGAT